AAGGTGATTAAGTCTAAGCAAGAACCTAAACTCAATTATCTAACAATCCTAGAATGGCAGCGACGCCAAATTGAACAAGGACTTTTGGGTCACTAAATTCAATCATTCTCTAATCAGATGTTGTATAGATGACGTTTGTCAATCCATCTAGGAGCCAGAATAAAAGAGATGCAATGCACTAACTATGCTTAACCAGGTATGATAAAGGAGGATGATTCTAACAACTTAAGTGATCAAAGATGATATGCACAAGTGAAAAGCAATACTAATCAAGACTAATGCAAGCAATGCAATGCAAATAAACTAAATGCAAAAGGAACTAACAAGGCAATGAATTAAATGCAATATGACTAAGATAAGAAAAGCAATAGGAGTGCAAGAACCAAAATAAATGCTAAATGTAATAACTTCAAATGCAAGGCAAGGAATGGAACAAAAGAAAGCAACTAAAAACAGAGGAAAACAGAACACAAATTAATGAAAAGCAAAGAACAATGAAGCGCTGGTAAAGACTGATGACTTGGGGATTACTTAGTATCAAACCTAGGGTGGTAAAGACTGATAACAAGCAAAGAACATGATCAAGCCAGTAAATCAATCAATCCGCACCAAGAGCGTACATAACTAAGTTAAGCACATGTTAGACCCACTTGTGATGGCGTATCTGTGCAAAACCAGCCCACAACAAGAATAGAGATATCTAAGTTAAGCACATGTCAGACCCACTTGTGATGATGTATCTGTGCAAACCCAGCATGAAAACACAAGGCTCTTATAGACCAAACATGCTACCTAAAAGCCAATATATTCATCTAGGAGAATGTTCCTAACAAAGTTCTTTCAGGCATTTAAATAAAACACTTGTGATGCAGCAAACACCAATAAACAGTTTCACCCAAAAAGAATTACTAAGCACTAAGGACAACTAAGCTAAGTGATCTAGGCATTAAATAAACCAAAACACCCTAAGCTATTAACCAATCATCCCCAAATCTGCTCCAACCTTAAACCATATGAAACTACTCACAACATATAGCAAGATCAACAGAAATAAGCAGAGATGATAGATCAAACATGATTAAAACAAGAACTAGAAGATAAATGACAAAGGAAGTGCAAAACTTTATTAAAAGAGTGATCTTGATCAAAATCCCATAAAAATCTCTGTGTGGTTTCCCACAAGGTCGAAAATAGGGTCAAGAAGAAGATAAGTGCTAAAAAGATAAGGTTTAGCTTAAATAGGCTAAGAAGATAACGTTTGACAAAAAATAGAAAAATCTTGGTCAACTCTCACGGTTGACGCATCGTGGTGCAAGGGAGGGTGTTTTGCTCGATGTAGTTAGCTCGATATCGAGGTGGGTTCTCGGTGCTCTCCTCGATGCTACACCAAGATATATCCTGTATATCCGTATCGACTTGTACAGCACGCCCAGCTTGGTGCATTACCTCGGTGCACTCTAGGGGTCCTCGGTTAAATATTTCTTCCTCGTCCCACGCTTCACATCGAGCAAGCTTCGCAGATGTTCTGCTCTATGCTAGACCTCGATATGGATACTGAATTCGCAAAGCTGCTTCTTTGGCAACCCCTCTGAAAATGAGTTGCTTTCAATTTTTCCCAACTCCAAAACTCTCCAAGAACACCTGAAAACCACCACAAACATGCACATGTATGGAAATGTATGCAATCCTAAGCTAAATGCATGTCATATTGATTTTAAGTGCAAATGATACTAAAATGCTAAACTATAATGCAAAAACAGAGGAAAAGATGCCTGAAATGCATCCTAAAATGATCTAAAATAGCAAGCTATCACCATGCTTCAGCAAATGTCTCATATCCATGTTGTGCAAAGCTGTTATTGTATTCCTGAGCTTTGCTGCTCTTGTTGAGCTGAAGAACTTGTTGAAAAATGATGTCTTGCATTCATTCCAAGTTGAGACTGATCCTTGTGGAAGTGTCATCTCCCACCGATGTGCCTTGTCTCCTAAACTGAAAGGGAACATGTTCAGCTTCAAAGCATCTTCAGACACGCCCTGAATCTTAGTCATTCCACACACTTTGTGAAACTGATCCAAATGGTCTAAAGGATCCTCATTGGGCAGACCATGAAATATGTTTCCTTGCACTATGTTGATTAACCCAAGCTTGATCTTCTGGTGCACAGCTGGAGCATTAATACCATTGCGGTTAATCTGAGTATCAGGCGCATCACCAGCTTCTATAGGTTTTTGAACCCTTGGTGCATGAACTAGAACTCTTAAACCATGACTCCAGCTGCTTGGTTCATAGCTTCCTGAACCTCATCAATGTGTGCAGCAGCTTGTGGTATTGGTGCTTGTCCAACAACACAGATGTGTGGTAACTGAGCTTCTTGCTCTGCCATCCTCTGCTCTTCTAACTCGTGAACTCTCTATCTTACAGCCCTTCTTCTATGGATGTTGTCTATAGAAGGAATCAGATTTGATGTGCCTTTGAACCTCAAATTCATACAAGTACCTGAAAAAACAGAGCAATGTGTGCAGCAGCAATAACACCAATGTGTGGTAACTAAGCTTCTTGCTCTGCCATCCTCTGCTCTTCTAACTCCTGAACTTTCTGTCTAACAGCCCTTCTTCTATGGATGTTGTCTATAGAAGGAATCAGATTTGATGAGCCTTTGAACCTCAAATTCATACAAGTACCTGAAAAATCAGAGCAATGAAAACAGAGCTAATTAGTAATGAAAAAGAAAAGAACTTGGTCTAATCGCAATGTCAATCCACAAGTGGGAACCTCGCCAATTTGAAACAAGGGTTTTTAGGCCCTTGAGGCTAATGTTCCTAGGTCTCTAATCAGTTGTAGTATAGAGATCAGGTGTCAAACACACTTGTGGATGTGAGATACAAACAATGCTATAAGCTAAACAATATGGTGTTTGATTATGCAAGAGTAACTTTAACAACCTAGCAATGCAAAAAAGATAAAATAGAACTGAAATGCACGTAAACAAAGATTAAGGAAGATGAAACTAAACAAGATGAATTCTGAAATTAAGCAAGTAAAAGGAACTAAGCAAAGCGGTTTTAAGATAATTAAAGAAAAGCAAGATCTAAGGTACTAAGCAATAATGGTCAAGTGGTTTTCAAGAGTTACTTAGTGGATTTCTAGCAAAGGCAATCATCAATCATCAAACAAGCAAACAATTCTCAATGTTGTAATCCTATACAATGTATCTAATGAAGAATCTTCCTAATGGTTAATAAGCAAACCCAATTCAACAAGACTAGAGTGTCAAACCCACTTTTGATGGTGTATTATCTAATCATGAGCATAAAGATCATAACCATAGAGCCTAAAAGATGAACTAGTCAAGTAAACATCTCTCACTCAAGCAAGAATTCATATCATCCTATTAATCTTTTGAACCATATAGGGACCTAAGTAGGTAATCACCAATTAAGAACATATAAGTAAGCACACAGTTGCGAATCCTAACAATGTCTAGCAATGAACAGGACTTCAAGCAAAAGCATCTTCTTATAATGCAAACTATCTAACCATCAAGCAAGAAACTCATAACAAACACTATCTAGCCCTAAGCGAATCATCTAGCTAGGTGAATTATCACAACGGTGTCACTGAACAAAGGAAACATAGACCAAGCTAGACTATCAATCAAAATAATTCAATCATGCATATAAATGAGATATCAAGCCATTAAGTGAACCATTTGCATCAACAATACCATATTCAATCAAAAGGGAGAAGCTTTATGAACAATAAACACTTTGCAAGAGAAGAAAACAACAGAGAGCATCTAATCAAGCCTAATCACCCTTTAATCATATTTTAATCACCATTTTCCCTACTTAAAACTCTAAATTTAAGGTAAACTACTCACTAATCATGTTTAATCCCATTTTTTTAGAGTTAAACATAATTAGTTCAAAGATCAGAAGACAAGATTAAATGCAAGATAATGAAAACTAAACTACCATGGTGCAAAATCAAAGATCGGAAGACAAGATTAAACTATACAAATGCAAACTTAATTGAATAAAATAAAAGCGTTCACAAGATTGGGCAAATCACTCTTTTTGGGTAAGCAAAAGATAAGATAAGGTTTGAAAGATGACATAATGACAAAGTTCGGTGGCTTCCCTTTAATAGTAGGGAACCAAAAAGGTAGGAAAAAACTAAAAATAAGATAGGCCGGCGACAAAATCCGGTCAAACACGCGGATAAGTTGTAGCGGGTGGTACGGACGATGTTCTGCTCGATCCACCACCTGATATGGTCTGTGCTGCGCATATTGACTTGTGAAGTAGTTCCCTGCTTAATGCAGCACCTCAATGTTGACTATGCCTTAGGATCCACGAGCTAGCCCTCTTCTTAACGTACTGCGGCTTGTATAGGGCATACTCCTCAGCGGTTTTGCTCGATGCAACATCACGATATGAGACTAAACTTGGCAAACTCTTTCTTTGGCATCTCTTCGAACATGAGCTGGTTCCATCTCCTCTCCAGACTCCAAGAACCTCCAAAAGTACCTGAGAAACACCATAAACATGCAAATGTATGCATATATATGCAATCCTAAATTAAATGCATGCAATGTAGATTCTAAGTGTAAATGAAACTAAAATGCTAAACTAATATGCAAAAACAATGAAAAAGATGTATGAAATGCAGCCTAAAATTCTCTAATATAGAAAGCTATCTACACTGGTATCTCTTGAAACGTTCCCAAGCCTCACTAAACGTCTCATTTGACTTCTGCATGAAGCCATTAATTTCATTTCTCAGACCACTACAGGAAAATGAGTATTCTTAACATTTTAATAATTGCTCAATCAACGCCTGCGATAATAGATCCAACACATTAGTTTACGATTTTTCCTATTTCTATCAATATGATATTTAGTATAGCGCTTTCATATATGCAATAGTATATCTTACAATAGCATTTTTGTTTTATTATTATTATTATTATTCATATTAATCTGAGTTTTAATTTTGAATTTTCTGTTTTGAATTTTAAATTTGAAAAGCTTTAGAAGAAACAATAAATAAATAATAATATTAATAATAATTTACAAAAGTAATACATTAAATACTTAAGTCATATGCATTAGATTTTGTATTCATGAAATTTCTGAAATCATACAAAACTAACTTCATTTTTCACATTTCTTCTTAAATCGACTTTAGCTTCCTGCTTAGTGGTCTCACATATGTACATCTGTTCAACAGCATCGTTCCAAAATTCTTGATGGTTGCCAAAGATCTGCAAACAATTTGTTATGGATTACATTAGTAGAGATGAGGCAATGAAAAATGAAACTATAAAAAGTAAGCTCATGAGAAAACATGACATTTGTTTTAACTTTGCAAAGAGCCCTCAATAGATAAGCATATGTACATAGAGAGTACTAACCATGTAGCTAGTAGCAGGAGCATCTGGAGGCGCAATTCTCAGAAAATAGTTCAAAGTTTCTCCAGTTCAAGGCTCCTTTTTTACTACTTGCTTGTTAATTTCATAATAAAAAATTGTTCCAGCCCTCAATCCTAACCTCGTCTAATATTCAAAATCGATCAAATCAGTATCAGAAAACCTAGAAATATCAGAAAATAACGAATAAATCCAAAAACGAAACCAACACTAACCTTGAGTGGGAGATGAAGCCAAAGCATCCTCGGCAAAGCAGACAATTTGGTAGCAACAAGTCAAATTAGTTTTGTTTAGATCTGAAAATGGTGGAGGCTTGGTCGTTTGTCTCTTACGGAAATTAATCTGTTTCTTACATGGTGAAGCATGAGCAGCATCTTCATCTTCCAAACCCTACAATTTCTTACAAATATCCAGTCCAAGAAAAACCTAAACACCATCGCAGCAGCAGATACAGTAGAACTGTCAGCCCAAAAAATCAAACCGGTGAGAAGGTGGAGAGACGAAAGTAAAGGCAAATAACTGTAGATCTGTACTCTGTTCACTCCTCCGAGCCTCAACCCATATCTCCGATGAAGATGACGAGAGGTAGGGACTCAGAGTGAGAGGGATAGTGATTGAGAACAATAGAGGTCGAGACTGTGAGAAAGTGAGATCAAGACTAAGAGTCATAGATATTGAGACTCTCTAAGAGTGAGAATGAGAGAGATTGAGACAAAAAAGGGAGATCCAGACGAAGAGAATGGAGAAGGAGAAAAAATAAAGGAATTTTGGTAAATATGTTAATTACAAACAAATTGGATTATCAATTATTAGTTTCTATAAAATTAGCTTGCTATAATTTTTTTTATTATTGGGATGATACTGAAATTTTTTTATTTTCTATAACTATGTTAACCTATTATAGATTTCCAGTTTCGAGTTTCTCAAGACCCTTCTCTGTCCTGTTCTCCTCCGCCCAGTAATGTTGATGCTCTTCGAGGAACTAAGCGTAAAGCTTCGAAGCTGGATATTGATGATGAGGTATCTACAAATAGGTAAACAAAAGACTCTCGCGATAAAGACATGACTGTTGATCAAGGAGAGGTGGCAACCCCGAAGCCACAAGAGCATCAATGAGGATATTGCATTAGAACTGTCACGGTTCGAGGAACCTCTTGACAGTCCAACACTTTCAGGAGGTCCGACGAGCTAAATATCCTGCTCTAATGTTTCTAGTGGAGACTAAAAATGATGTGTCATATGTACAAAGTATTTGCTCAACTCTTTTGTATCCCCATCACTGTATTATTCCATTTCAAGGAAGTAGTGGCGGCTTAGCTATATTTTTGGATCACCTTGTTCATATTAAACTATGTAATCCTTCGCTCAATTATTCTGATGTTTATATCCATAAAGGTTCTTCTACTTATTGTATCAGTTATGTCTATGGTTCTCCATATAAGAGAATACGACAAGCTTTTTGGCGGCAAATGCAACGACGGGCACCATTGTATCAGTTACTCCCAGACTTGTACTTGGTGATTTTGATGACATTATATCGAATGATGAGAAAGCAGGAGGTCCTCTGCGTTCTGAATCAAGGTTCAAAGTTTTGGCAATATGATTGTCGCGAATGGTTTGCAAGATCTGCGTACTATTAGAGGCAGCTATACGTGGGTTGGTTCTCGACATACGCATGTGGTGCGAATGAAGATTGATCATGCTATGGCCAACACGTTATGGACAGATATGTTCCCGCTAGCGTGTGCTCAGTTACTACGATGGATGGGTTCTGATTATCGCAGTTTAATTGTTTATACAGACTCAAAGGCTGGGAAAGCTAAGAAGTTTTTCAATATGATAATCTTTGGTGGTTGGATTAACACGTTAAAGATGTTGTATCAATGACGTGGGAGGAGAAGTGCCAACATCTCCCACCAAAACAGTTTGGTACTGCCCTCATTCAATGTCGTAATGCGCTGGCCCAGTGGAAAACAACTACGACTACAAACTTCAGGAAGCAAATACACGCGTTGAAGCAGTCTCTTCATCATGCGTATAATTCTTCTGTTCTGGATTTTCATTATATAAGTTCTTTAAAACAGCAGCTAATGTTTGCCTACAGGTTGGAAGAGGAGTATTGGAAAGCTAAAAGTGGGGTGCATTGGCCTAAGGATGGGGACCCCAACACTAAATACATCCATGCCCAAACCAAGAAAAGGTGTTTCTACAATAAATTGGTTGTCCTGGAAGATGATGATAGCAGAATGTACACTGATCCGCAAGACATCCAGCGTCTTGTCCAAGAATATTTCAATCACTTATATACTTTGCAACATACTCTGGTCGATCAGGATTTATTAGCAGGTATTCCTTCCACAATTACTTCTGATATGAATCAAAAGCTTTTAGAACCTGTTACTATAGAGGAGATTAAACAAGCTGGTTTTAGTATTCCTGCTGAAAAATCTCCTAGACCTGATGGAATGAACACTGGTTTTTATAGGAATCATTGGGACACAATTGCGGAGAGTGTTTATCAATTCGTTAACAAATTTATCCATGATGGTTTATTAAATTCAGAAATTAATCATACTTATATCTGTCTCATACCTAAAAAAGAATCTCCTACTTCTCTGAAGGATTATAGGCCTATTAGTTGATCAAATGTTGCCTATAAGATCCTTTCCAAGGTCCTAGCTAATAAGCTTAAGCATGTTTGAAAGATATTATTTCTAAGAATGAATCAGCTTTTATATCAGGGCGACTAGCTACGGATAATATTTATATTGCTCATGAGTTTCTACATTCTTTACGCACCAACCGTTTAAAGTATCACTACGTGGCTATAAAATTAGATATTACTAAGGCCTTTGATAAAGTTGAATAAAGTTTTTTGGATGCAGTAATGGCTAGAATGGGCTTCCATTTACAATAGCGGGAACGGATTATGATATGCCTGAATTCTGTCTCCTATTTTGTGCTAATTAATTGTGAGCCCTCACACCAGATCTATCAACAACGAGGTATTCGTTAAGGAGATCCAATTTTTTAATGTCTTTATTTAATATGCAGTGAAGCTCTCTTTGCTCTTTTGAGATGTTTGGCTCAACAGAGAAGGTTACTTGGCTATCGAGCTTCTCGGGGAGGTCCAATACTTACCCATTTGCTTTTTGCTGATGACTCATTATTTTCAGGGGGCTCTGCTAGGGATGCTACGATATTACAACATGATTTATCTCTATATGGCCAAGCCCCAGGACAGTATATCAACTACACAAAGTCGAGTATTATGTTTAGTAAAGGTACTACTTCGATTACCATCAATGCTCTTTCACAATTACTTCAGATTAAGCAAGTAGGTGGTTTTGGAAAATACATAGGAGTACCTGAGTTCATAAGTAGAAGTCAAGCTGAAACCTTTGCTTATTTAAAGCAGCGGATACATCAAATGGTAGCTAGTTGGTATTCGAAACTGTTATCGCCAGTTGGTAAAGAAGTGTTAATTAAGTCTACCATTACTGCAATTTCTACGTACATTATGAATTGTTTTCTTCTATCTCAAACACTCATCAATAAAGTGATGGTCAATATTAGGCGATTTTGGTGGTCTAGTAACCCTGATAGAAGGAAAAATCTTTTGGATATCCAAGAACAAACTTGCAGAGAAGAAATTTAAAGGAGAATTAGGTTTTTGTGATTTTAAAGATTTCAATATCTCCTTATTAGCTAAACAAGGTTGTCATTTAATAAAGCATCCTACATCCTTGTTATCTCGAGTTTACCAAGCTAAATATTACCCATGATCAACCTTCCTTTAGGCTGTTCCCAAAAGATAATCTAGCTACGCATGGAAGAGCCTTCTTAGTGCTCAAAATTTGTTAAAATCAGGGCTAGTATGGAAAGTCGGAACAGGCACGGATTTGAATGTTTGGTCTGACCCATGGTTGCCTTTGCACCCACCTCGAAAGCTGATATTACTGCATATTTAATATATTTTCATACATATAAGTTAGTTTCTCACGCATATACATTGTATTTTAGACTAGTTTGCATCACTTTAGGTCCTAGAGCATTCTTGCACCAGCTTATGCATGTTTCTTGCATTTTGCATCGCATACAGGTTGTTTTCGGCTACTTTGGAGTCTTGGAGGGTTCGTGGACGTGCTAAGACTCGTGAGGAGGTTCGTGGGAACTTGTAGAATTCAGGAATGCTTGCTAAGGACCAGAGATCGAGAAGCGGATAGAGTATGGCCGGTCGATCTAGATGAGATCGATCAGAAGATCGAGTAGTCCATCCGATCCAAGAAGACTGATCGAGACGGAGATCGAGTAAAGCGATCGATCAAGGAGTACGGACGTGAATGACGCCATGCAGAGCGAGACCCAGATCGAGTCCACCACGCGATTCTCTAAAGATCGACTCCAAGATCGAACGAAGCACTCGATCCACCGAAGAAGATCGAGACACAGATCGAGCCGAAGCCACAATGTCCGAAGATGATCGAGCAAGATGCTCGATCTCGAGGTTGATCTCAGTGCTTTAACCGTTTATGGCCGCTAGCGAGGGGGGGGACCATCGAGCTGTTTGACCTATTACGGGAAGGCGGCGATCATGCTTTTTTTTCACACACGCTTTCACTTTATCATTTTCATCTTTTTCTCTCTGATCGAAGGCGATTTCGCCATTGTTAGACATTGAAGCTTTGTTCTTGAATCTTTGAATCGTTTAAGTTTAAATCTATCGTTTTTCATGTTTATCAGTTCATCGTTTATGCTTTGCTCGGTTTACGTTATATGTAGTGAGTAGTTTCATCGGGTTCGGGGTTGAGAGGATTCAAAGGGGTCGAAAAGGTTTTCAAAGTTTGGTGTTTTCTTGTTCTTCATGGCTTTCTCTTCTAGGATGTCGAGTTCTTAAGGCTTAAAGACTCTCACGCCAAGATCTTTATTATCAGAGAGGTCTCTTGCCTTGACAGGATCCAGAGATCTCTGAAAATCGCATCCTAGAGACTAGTTACCCTTTCCCAAACGCCATGGTAGTTTAGGGGACTAGTTAAGCCGCATGTTTGAAATCTGAGTTCTTTGCCCTTCAATCTCTTTTTTCCCAAATGCCATGGGTCTGGAGGAGAGAATGAAGGAGTGATCCATTCCACACGCCATGGATGGATCTTGTTCTGTTTTCAAGGCTTAGAGAATCTCACAAAGTGAGTAGATCTAGAGTTTTCAAACCAAGCTTGAACCTTTGAAACCCTTGAACATGAATCTCAACCCTAGACCCTCTTTTTTAGTATTCTTAGATCTCTGTTAATCATTCACTTGCTATCTGTTCGCATCCTGGTCATTAGATTCATTTCTGTTGAACATTTAGACGAGATCGATCGTTGTTGCTCGATCTAGTGGTCGATCCAGTGGTCGATCACTAGTCGATTTTTATAAATTCATAGCTTTGCATCTTAATCATTCTGTTTGTTCGTCGCGGTAGTTCACTCGTTCCTTGTATTTTTAAAATAGTTTTGCTTTGCATTTAGTCGTTGCATCTAGTTTTTAGGATTTTTACAAAACCGTTCATCATTTGTTTAGCTT